CGGGCAACACCCGGACAAAATCCAACGAACTTTCGCGCCTTTTCTTTTTTGACGTTGCCAGCCACTCTTGTTGGCAAGTGTTGCCAGACAGAGTTCGTGATCCTGGCAAGTGTTGCCAAACAGTGTTCAGGATCTCTGGCGCTGGCGGCCACAATCCCATTACCTGCAGTTTCAACGCTTCAACAATGGGCTTGAAAAATAAATCTTTTTCAAGGTATATTAAATGTTATAAACATGATGAAAATTAATGGCTTTGAACTTTCAGGAGAGGAAAAATTTAACAGTTTTTCAGTTTGATGAGATGAAGGTAAATACTGTATCCATATCAATAAACCACATAATTCAATAATAATTATAATTTTCTGTTTTAACATTTTACCGATATTTCAGGCAAAGCATATATATGAATATGATAGTGAGGGATAAAGTTATTGGACCCAATAATCAAGTTTAATAATGATGGCAAGAGGACTATTTGCACCATGGAAATAACCAGTTTGATGTTTAATGTTATTTCAAAACTTTTAATGCAGGTTATACTGTTGTTAGTTATTGTTGTGGACAAAATATAGGATTATGGAAGGAATTAGGGATAAATATATTCAATACTAAATTTATATATCTGTTTAATAGATATCAATCAATCAATCAAATGTTTATTAACGTACTAGGCAATAGCCTGTTACAAGGGGGTTAAATGGCAGATTCAAAAACATGTAATTGTTGATAAATGGGTAATTAAAAATAATATTGTAATGTAAGGTAGTTTTTTCTTTTCTGCATATCTTCATTATCCTGGATTATTGAGTGTTCCATAGCTTTATATAACAATTGGCCAATACCATGGTCATTATTGTTAAGACAGTTAAACACCTGTTCCATAGAAAAGCCATATAATATTGAATATTCTCGATAATTGAGTAATTCAGTTTTGTTTCGTATTATTATTCTTGATTATATTATTATGTTCTGTTTAATAATCACATTATAGCTACCATATAATTGACCAATCATATTAACCAAGTAATAGCTTGCATTGTGTTTATTCAATTTGTTTTGTAGCAACTTTATACAAACAGAATCATAAGCTTTTGATAAATCCAAGAAAAGTTCATAAACTTTCTGCCTCTTCTTTAATAACTGTATTTGAATTATTACATTTGAATTATTATATTTGAATTATTAAGTAAAATAAACAGGGATTTTTGAGTACCTCCATTATCTACATATGCATATTATGTGGGATTCTTGTAGTTGTTTGCGTCAATCCATTGTTTGAATTTCTCTACCAGTATTGCAGTGAATAGTTTTCTGAAACTGGACAATAGGGCTATTGGTCTGTAATTTCAAGGAGCATATTTATTTCCTTGTTTATAAATCATCGTAAAAATTACCTCCTTCCAATTAGTTGGAATAATACCTAATGGAACAAATGCTGTTAAAGAATCTTGTTATATATTGAATGAAAGAATTAGGTATACATCTGATCCTGGAGCTTATTTAATTTTCAAAGTCTTACTACGTTTTTTCACCTCTTCTACACTTATTATCTTGTCCCGATTGATTTGATGAACTATTTTATCTAGCTAGTAAATATTTCTTTGATTTATGTAAATACATCTACAAGAATTCCTAGAAATATTTTATCCATTTAATATATTCAATTGCTTTTTGATTTAAAAAGTCCAATTTAGGTTTATGAAAGTTGTTAATAACCTTCCAAAAGGTTTTTGTATCTCTTGATTTGATCAGTTTTTTATTAATGTTGGTCCTGTATAATTTCTTTTTAGCTTTGATTAAATTTACATATATTTTTTTACTTTTCAGATAGCTTGACAGTGCTTCGAGTGTATTTGTCTCTCTGAATATTTTCAACTCTTCTTGTGTTTTAAATTTAAAGTGATAGCAAGAGTTGTCAAACCAACTCTTTAACCTTATTTAACCATTCTGTCTTATCAATTTTAAAGTCACATTTTTTTCTGAATTTCAATATATTCTCTTTTTTTATATATTTTCTTGTATGCGATTTAGTAGATAGCGTGAGCGGTATAGGAAAATGATCCGAAGCATCTTCATCACATACATTTAAGATCTGACAATGTTCAATCAAGATTTGGGAACATATCATAAAATATACAATCGATTTTATATTTTGAGATACATAAGTGTATTATTCTGTTGGGATATCACCTTTCATTCTGCCGTTCAGTATAACAAATTGGTTTTCTTGAACAAATTCTAATAGAATTTTGCCTTCGCTGTTAATAGTTTCATAATTTAAATATATCTTTGTGTCTAGCATCTCACCAATTCTAGAATTTAAGTCCCCTCCAAATAACCAACAGTGTATCAAGAAGTCCCATGTGGATACATTTATTAATTAATATTACTGCTTTATTTGCAAATACTTGGTAATTTGTCCCAAAAAAGAATTATAAACTCATTATTATTAATGTCTAGAGTGTATATAATATTATCTTTTATAAAATAATCATCCCTGATTATCACTCTGTTAGTTGAGAATTCTGATTTGATTTTATTAAGCATTAGTTTCCTTCTAATTCTAGATCTAGTACAAAGATCTGCTTTAATAATAGTTTTTTTCCATTTCTATTTTTATATTCGGTTTCGATATCCAGAATTTTTTAAGTATCAAGTTTCTATCTTTAACTGATTCTGTTATCATTTGATTATTTGAGTTTCTCTTATCTAATTGAATTAGACCTTCTATTTCTATGTCTTTTAGGTTAAGAGCTACCTTAATGAAATTTTTGAGTTCTTGCAGCTTATCAGTTTTAAATGGAAAATTAATTATGACAAGATTCCTTTTGGTATTTTCATTATGTAATTTATCCAATTCAAACTCAAACATACCTTTTAGGTTTGCTAAGGCCTTTGTTTTATCTTCACACTGCTGACTTTTTTGTAGAATGATTTTAATTTCTTCTCTAATTTTTATATTATCATCCTGTACACAACTTATGTCATGTCTAATCGAATGAATTTCTTGATTTAGTAGTTCAAACTTTCCTTGAATTAAGTTGTAGATTGGTTTTAACGAGTACCTCGAATCACTATCACTTGACTGATTAAATTGTTCGGATATTTCGAAATAATCCTCAACCTTAGTTTTACTAATACTTCTGTTATTTTTCGTTTCTTCCTCAGGAAAATATTCTTCTCCGATAATGTCCAGTAGCTGGCTTGTATCTTCAGAATTTTGTGCCTATTCCTTTCTAGGTCTTCCATGCCCCCTTTTTTTGCATGTTGGTTTGACTTATCTTAACTGGTGAATGTTGCAGAGGGCCGGGATTTGTTTCGATGACAGCCATTACCAACAACAATAAAATTAGATTTAATGATATCAAATTCATTAATATACTAATAATACTAGAAATTGTTGTATTGTCTAATGTTTCACAGCAAAATGTTGTTTGGAGAAGGTGAGTGAAAAAAGTCACCAACACTGATGATAGCTAGAAGTGCCCCCTGTTTAATAGATATAATAAATACTAATTTCCAGATGCACTTCATTTGTTAATACTCATTAGAAATTGGTTTTCTAACTTTGGGTCATACATTAATAAACAAGGACTCATTACAACAGTTACTTCAAATAGATTCCAATGAAATAAGTTTGCCATAAATTAAAAGGGTGTATTACATGTCAAAAATTTCAATGACAATTAGCTTGTGAATTATTTTCTAATTCTACTGCTATTGCTAATAAAACTGAAAATGACTTAGCAACTTCTGAATTTATATCATCAATTAATGCATGATTTGATATTATGAATAGTTCAACATTCAATTTTCATTACAAAATTGATTATCCCTCCAAATGTGCTTATGGCATTAACAAAACAGAACAAAATAATATACTTGATAATACAGAATAATTGAAAGTATGAGATGTGTATCTAAACCAGTGTTTCTCAACCTGTAACGAATCATTGCACCCTTCACTACAAAATTTCGATACCGGGGGACAAGGATAATGCCAAATTCGTACTGCATTGAATAGACTAGTGACTAGTATAATGTTATTTGTTTAATTATTGTACGATATAACAAATAAAATTTCTAATTATTCTTAATATAATGTTTTACTATATCGCCCAGAAAATTGTTTTTCGCTCCCCAAAATATAAATTGTTACTAACCGCCCCCTGAACATGGAAAAACGCCCACATGGGGTGATATCACCCCCGTTGAGAAACACTGATTTAAACAATCGCTTCAAACATTCCAAAAAGGAATGTTTATATCTATTAAAGGTTTATTTTTCGAACTTAGTTCAAAATTTCCTAAATACCAATTCCTAAATCTTAACATGTAAAGCAAATCAGGATTCTTTAGAAAATTTTCTCAAATTCGAACTACATGATGATTATACAATCACCCTAGTCCACTTGAGGTAATATATAGAATGAGAATGATAATTTTAGATAAATCACTTGGAATATTACAAAATAAATTAAACACTGAAGATAAGATATCTGAAAATTCATGCGATGTAAATGTAAATGATGATGATTTCTATGAGATATCTGAGGAAAATGTAGAAGAAAATCTATTACATGAATTAAAAAATGATAGATTACAATATTTAGCAGGTTGGATTGTAAGCAGATACAAAAAAAAAATATCGAAATTTAGCAAGTGTCAGTCACTAAATTAAAAATGGGCATAATTATGCAATAATGCCTTATATTCAGGATTTATCATTTGGTGGATTATCACAGCCATCAGAAAATTTCTTTAATTTAGTTAAAAGAAATGGAATCAATTTTTTACAAACAATTGACTTGCCAGATGTTTAATCCATAAACGTTGCTTTACATACGTGTATTTAATTGAATTTTTTAAACAATTTAATTAAATACGTTCCTCTGCAAAAAGAAAAGTAAATTGTAATAACAATAGAACATTTAAAAAAAGTTTGTATCTGATTTCTTTTAATTCTGTTTTTATGTAACACTTATATTTAATATCAATATATAGAAATTATGTTTATGACAGAAAATTGTTCTTTTGACAAAGTCACTTTTTTATGAGTAAATAATACTGTTTTCCATATATGAGTGTTAAAAATTAAAAAAATAGACCAATATAGTTTTTGGTTTAAAAAAAAGGTGGTTTGACAATAGGAATTAAATTAATATACTTATGTTTCGTTTTGGAATCCATTTGATGTCAAATAAGCAATCAGTGATAAGTATTTTGTGAGGTAAGCCAATTGGGGTGAGGAGATTTCCAACAGCCGAGCGGTCTACTCTGTCGTGTGGGAGTGTTAAGACTCACTGAGATAGGTTTCCATCGTAAACCATTTATTAAACAAAAATGATGCTTACAGCTACTCTTAACAATCGTCATAAAGCCTATCCAAGGGCAAACCAATCCGTACAATAAGAGTTCAATTGTCCAAATGAATGTTGAGCTGCCTGTGAATTGATGTGGAGAGCATTGGCTCTGGGGCACACTGCACACTTGGAAAGAATGGTTTTGTCAGGAAACACCTGGGCAAACTTTTGGGACAGAAGCACAAAAATTCCGTGAAAGGAGTGTTAGGAACTCAAGACCAGAACTCTTAATGTCCTTGAAAAAAATCTATAAAACCACAGTTTTATAGATTTTTTTCAAGGACATTAAGGGGCAGCTACAGTTGGAAAATCTATAAAACCAGAGTTTTTTATAGATTTTCCAACTGTAGCTGCCCCTCCATTAGTCCCTCATCATCACCTGGTGACAATTTGAAACCCGATGATGGGAGCAGTCAACTTTGTGACCGAACATGACTCCTCTCCGGCCACATTTTCCTTGACTTTGGTCTTCCTATTGTTTTAAATCTTTCACAAAAAAACTTCCATTGTTTAACTCAATCTTTATTTTCGCCCTTTTGCGTCATGAAATGTGATTTTTATTTTAAAAACCGCGAATACCTCCTTTTGGACCTCATTTGGGTCCTCACAATTTCTTCTCTATGAGGCAACCTTACCTTCTACAATCTTGGCATTGATTGGCTTTTAATATGTACAGTAAAATCTGTATAAACCAGAATCGCACATTTACCAAATATTTTTTCCAGTTTTACAAGTTTTTTTAACATGAAAAATTGCCCCATTTTAAAGAACTTTTCCATTTATGCAGGTTTCCTTCCTATTCAGGATTTGTTGTAGTATTCAAATTATTCACCATTTTTATTTTCTGTTATTTTGGAAATCATTTTGTTGTCTTGATACTACAGTTTACTACATTATTTACGTAATTATATTGGTTGTTGGGTTTGTTGACAAAGTATACCTGTAGGAAACTGTGTGTTGTAAATTGTTAATTGAAAGTTATTCTCTAATTGGGTTAACACTAGTTGTAAGTTTTATATTTTGAAGTATTTTACAAAGTCCAGTAAGTAAAAAACTTATACACTAAAGTTCTTTAATTAGTTTTTATTCCATACCTTAGAAAATTCAATATACAGAGCGAATAATTTATTTTCTTCTGTAGGTCACAGCAGACCTGAACAGAAGTATGGGATAGAATCTCTGCATATTCCAATAAAATGGGTTCAGCAATCAAAATTTTTTCATGAACCTGTAAAAAGATGTAAGTCTGAGTTTGTATTAAAAAATATATTAATCTTATAAGATTTTTTAAATCTATTCTTAGGGATAAGGTACATTAAACCATAAATAGTGTGTGGCTACAAAGTTCTTACATGTGGTAGAATTTGTCTTGTGCTCCTTTCCATTCATTGTGAAAATTTTTAATTTTTCTCCATATTCTATGTTTTTCTAATGACTTACAATAAACCAACATAAATAAAACCTGATAACAAGTTTGTGAAAGAAGTCTTATGGTTTTCAATGCCCCAAAGCAAATATTTACATATAGACCAACTTCCTTGAAGTGTTTAAATCTAGTCAATCGTCTACCAAATTTTTTTACTGACCTGTGTCTTTCAGCTAAAGGATAGTCCAATCTCATGAATAAGAACTTTCTAGCCACTCACAGTACATAAAATACACTCACTACCATAAAAATTAGTGCACCAAAGAGTTGTCGTATCACTGAAAAAATGTGGCATGCAGGTAAGTCTAAACACATATGGAAATGATAAGAGTTATAGAATGATGGCCCATTCCATAATGACAGCAGAGGGCATTAAAATGCATTCCTCTTGGCCTATAAAAAAATATAGGCAAATGCAGAGGTACGCTGTATCACTAGAGATGCCTTACGTCACATTTGAAGATCATACAAACAACTAACTGAGTTTGAGAGGGAAGGATTGCTGAGTTGAGAGAAGATGGATGGTCATCTCACCATATAGCCTGCTACCTAGGCTGTTCTGACAACACTGTGAGGAGGTGTTGGGGTCAGTGGACAAGAGAGAGCTTGCATGCATGGCAGCCAGGTTCAGGATGCTCTCAGCAGATCACTAGACAACAGGTGGTGCCATCATTACAGGCCTGTCTGTACCATTTCCAGGCACCCAGGTAAAGAATGTTTGTCATTGCGGCAGCAATTACATATGCTGCCATTGACAGCCACCCACCGTTGCCTCAGTTTGGAGTAGTGTCGCTCTCAATGGAATTGGACTGCAACAGAATGGAACTGGGTTGTCTACAGCAACAAATCCAGATTCAGTTTGGAAACTGATGACATTGTGGTGAATGCCTCAATCTTGCCTATACTTTGGAGCAATACACTGCCATCAAAACTGGTATGATGGTCTAGAGGAGGCCGTCATATACGACAGCTGGTCACCTCTATTAGTGATCCAAGAGACCATGACAGCCCAGCAGTACATTAGTGACATTCTGCAGCCACATGTGTTGCCTCTTGTGGCAGAGCTCCAAAGAGCCATTTTCCAACAGGACAGAGCTCGACCACTCACAGCAAGTGTCATCAGACTGCCTCTGCCACATTGTCACACTTCTCTCTGGCTGGCCTGGTCCCTGATTTGTCACATTTGACAGACTAGGAGTTTGGCCAAACTAGAGGACTACTTGCAGCAACTGTGGACCAAAATGTCACAGGATACTGTACGGAACCCATATGTCTCCATGCTTGCCCATATCACATTGTGTATTCATGCTAGAGGTGGTCTAGCATGAATACACAATGGGAAAACTAGAACTAATAGGATACTAGAATCTCCTTTCATTTTTAGTTTTTCCTACAACAAATGATCCTTTTGCTTTCATTTTGTAACCACTTACATATCACTGTTACACTGGCATGTGTACAATTTCATTTGATTCCAACAACTCCTTCTTGGTGCGCTAATGTTTACGACAATGAGTGTATAACATAATATTCACATCCAGAATCTCATAACACTAGGGAATAGCCATTCTGTATACTGAAAGTAAATGCATGTCCCTAAATAATTGACATGCTGATTTTGGATTTGCCACTCAAATTTTCCATCGCATGCTATTTTTGAGATATGATCGATGTCATTTGCATGCCAAATGCCATTTGTATGTTTGTTAGGTTCAAAGACTGAAAATGTTCATTGAGTGAAAAAATGACCACAATGCATTGTGGCCTCTTTAAATCATTCACAATGCAAAATTCGCATCATGGCACTTGTAAAAACAGCCACAATGCATTGTGGCTAACTCAAAATGACCACAAAGTGAAATTCATGTCATGGCTTTCGTGATATTTGTCCACTGTGTGTTGTGATGATTGAGAAAAGCCATAATATGTTCTTAACGCTAGCTGATGCAACCATCACAGAGGATGATATGATGCACAGTGTTTTGTAACTTTTTAAAATATGCGTTCTGGCCTCGAAACATTTTTATTTACAATTTTTAATGCTGAACAACATTAGTTCTACAAGTTTTCCTAGAAATTTAATTTTCATACTTACATTTTAATTCTTTTATGGAGAAAAATACGCATTTGTTATCTTTTGTTTTGCTTAAAAGTGCTAAAGATCAAACTACATGCACTTGTAGATGCTTGATGTACTCTACACGATTACATAAAAATCAGCTGCTAAAGTTAAAAACCACTGTGTAACAGATTTATTGTGGTTAAAAGCAACCACAAGTTCTGGATGTTAACTAATAAATGGTGATGATAAGAAAATAAAACTTTCTTTTTCATTATGATGTATTTATCTTCAATTATCTTATATAAATAGGTAGCAAAATTATTCACCACATACAGAAATGTAACTTGGGTACTTTTCAACAACAATTAATCATTCATGAAAATCTGTTGTGGTGCTTGAGATGTCAACATTTTCAAACAACTAATTTACTAAAATTAATTACTTTGTAAGGAAATTTTATTAACAAATCAATCTTTTTTTTTTTAATGAGAATCAAGAATGTTGCAAGTTATTTATTTTTACAAAAACTATTAACATGATATTTTGAGTTGCATTTTATTTTCTTTGAGTGACATTTGCATTTTCATCAATACAGTATCTTTTACAGTGAGACATTAACAACATTCAGGATGTACCCTCAACTTCATTAACACTTTGCTCAGCATCTGGAAGCAAGCAAGGGTTTATAAAGTTATTCTCAGAAATTGTAAATTCATTACAAGCATAGTCGATCAAGAAGACCTTCCTTGTTTCCTAACTGATAGAGGCCTGATGGATTAATGCTTGTAACAACAGCTAACACATTTCCAGTAGCTGCACATACCCTATCAACATCAGGCATCCTAACCAATTTTAACCTGTCCACTGTATCGTGGTTGCATCAGCTAACATTCAGAACGTGTTATGGCTTTTCTTAATCACCACAACACATAGTGGTCAAATATCATGAAAGCCACAATGCAAATTTTGCATTGTGCATAATGCGTTTTGGTTGTTTATTTTTTTTGCTCAATTAGCGTTTTCGATCTTTGAGCCCTAACATGTTCAATTTTCTTTGTGTGTGTACTGACAATTGTGAGAATTTATACAACATTCTGTAGTGCTTTCATAATAAGTGCAAGTCACGTGCAATGATTACAAAGGACTTTGTTATAAATAATGATAACATCCTTAGCTCTTGGCTAAGGATGTTATCATCATTTATTACTCAATTATATAACAAAATACAGTTGTGTAAATATGTGGCAAATTCACCAGAATCACAGTACATTGTCTGTATGCAATGTTCTATATTATGTTTTGGATCCCCATTGTGTGATCTAGACTGATCAAGGGCTGTATGTGTGTGTTGGATGACTTGTGCTATAATTTGAAATAATGGTTAAAAGTACACTGCATGTCATGTCATTTTACTGTACAGGTTGACCTCAATGATTTCAACTAGCATAATTAATTTATATATATTTTACAAATGGGAATCTCATGTATTTCAAATTTTATGGATTGTTTGGTGATGCAACTTTGGTATCAACAACAAATATCTGTATAATGATAAATATTAATTCTTTACCAAAGATGGGCCTATCTACATATTCATTATTTGAGTTTAAGACTTGAGCCTTGGAAGAAACTTCATGTACTTGAGTCGAGTTCTAGATCATCCATTTTTAGTAATACAACATTACTTTTTGTATTGTAATGCAATACTAAATGTACTTCTAATTCTTATTAATGCTCACTCTATGAATTATGACTGAATTGCCTTGGAATGATGACAGAATAATGTAAGCTAAACTGAAAAACAAGGCATTGCAGATAGATGGCTGTGACAATGGTGTGTGCTATCTGTTAACTATATTTATATACAGGAAATCTCTCATATGAGACACATTAAGTGGGATCCATTTCCTGTGCACCAGACAAAGCCCTATCATTTATAAGATGTCCCTTCCTCTAAGTGAATTACCTCTTGGCATTGGGTACAGCTCCACATGCTATGTGGGCTACTATTAACAAAACCAGGATAAAACTAGACAAAATACTGTACAGTATTAGTAAAAAGAAGGAAAAAAAGACAACAACCATTTCTTGTGACATCGTCTCAATGCCAGGCTGCAATTTTTTGTCACAGTGTCATTTTAGTAGTATCTCACCCCTGTACATCATACTATCGTTGGTGGAAAAAGGCAACCCATGTAAAGAAGGTAGAAATGAAAGGAACGTGTTAGTGTGTTGTTTTATTGTAGTGCCAAGGAAAAGAAACATAGCCTTGGGTTATTGGAAATGCTGCATACCCCCATGCCTTCAGGAATAACAACATAAAAATGGATTGTCTACCTAGGACATGGAGGCATAACCAGAAGGCATGAATGACAATGTCATTTGTTCACTGAGTGGATCCAAGAACTTAACCACAACATGAAAGTCTAATTGGAAGATGTCAATGTCAGCACGACTGGTGGCATTATTAATAAACAAGTGTCACATTGACATCATGTCATCTGTTCTTAACAAGTGAAATGCAACCATTAAATAAGGGCATCAATAAAATAATCAAATTACTAAACAGGTAGCAATTGATGCAAAAGCTGTGCAAGATAGCTGATGAATTTCTGAAAGCCATAATTGTTCTCAAAGCAGTCCACTAGATACACATTACCTAGCAAGCTGTTTCTACTAAAGCAATTAAAAAATGTTTTGTGCATGCATGATTCAGACCGCCACCTGACCTAACAGCAGTGAAGGTCACGATACCATCTTAAACAAGAAATGTCATTAGGGATGTTCAAGAAGATGAAATTCAATCAGCACTGCAAAGCCATCAAGATATACTGCAGCACATCATCTATTTAGAACAGTATGGACTTTTTTTTTTATTTGGTGCTTGAGAAGTGCTTTACAACAAACACTCAGAAACCCATTTCTACATACAGCACTGCAATATAACAAAATGGTTTTAAATGTTTACCACTAGGAGTCACTGTAACGAAGACAAAGCAACTTTCAACTACACTTTATTAGTAAAACAAAATGGATGCCTCTAGTTCAAAGACATATTATATTGCATTATAAGCTTTCTGTCTACAATCTACTAAGAGTGATATGTAACTATTCAATCAATTTGCATTGCTGCTACAATTTTTTTAGACAATTGCATGCTTCTTGTTTTTTACTGCACTCTTAGAACCTATAGCCAGTGTGATATAAAAAAACAAAAGATAAAGATCATCACAAACGTTTTCGAATTGCTGTGAGTTCTTCCTCCGGTTATCACACCAGTTATAGGTTCTAAGAGTGCAGTATTTAACACATCCCAGTGTTTTGTAGTGTAGTGTATTTTTGTTTTTTAATTAACACTTAATGCTCTGGAACATGTTTTGGCAATATTTTCACCTTCAGTTGGATTACGTATTCTATTTTTAAACTTACAATATCAATTCATCAATTTTACCATTTAAATTTTGATTTGTATATTGTAATTGTAACATATATATTGGTTTATATGGCAATTATATTCTGTATCATTAATTTTTCTTTTGACCCTTGAAAAAGGTCAATGGCCATAGGGTCGTATGATTAAATAAAATAAAATAAAAATAAAATTACAATATACAAATCAAAATCAACACTAGGTATTGTTAGTGTTTAATGGATTTTAGAATGATTGTAACATATATATTGGTTTATATGGCAATCATTCTAAAATCCATTAAACACTAACAATACCTAGTGTTGATTTTCATTTTAAAATCTCTAACTTTTTGATATTATTGTTATGTTGAATAAACTTACTAAACATTGTAATGATAAAATATTGATTTGCAAAATGTAAAATTTTAAATGGTGAAATTGATGAGTTGATATTGTAAATTCAAAAATAGACAATGTAATCAGGCTGCAAAGGGTGAAAATATCACTGTAATGCATTCAGGAGCACTAACAAGGAGATCCTACAGCTTTCGGGAAATGTATTTTGATAATCTTTGGTGTAGAGGTGGTACACTCACATGGTGTACTACCTCTACACCAAAGATTATCAAAATCCATTTCCCGAAAGCTGTAGGGTCTCCTTGTAAGTGTTAATAGCTGCTAGGCTGTTTATGACAATGTGACATAAATTATTGGTGATTGAACAGGTCATGATAGTGAATGCCTTAGAGATGGAAGATTCCATTTCTAAAGTTGTGTGAACATTAAACATTCCTCAATCCATGATGTCACGTGTGTATTGGGAATACCCAATTAAAGGCATTACCATACATTGTGGACTGCACACTAGCTGACCATGGATGCTGTGAAGTAACTGGAACTGGCAGCTTATGGCTAATCTCAATTAATCCTGCATTGAATTTTGAATAACGTCTCACCAAAATTTAGGAATAGTGATAAACCTAAAAAAATAATTTTACAGAAAAAAGATAAACAAGAATATCACAATAACCAAATTGATTTGTACAATCATTTAATTATATATCCACAAAGTGAAGACCATGAGACATGTCAAGATTTGTATCCTATTTCAATTAAAATTTAATTTGGCATCATCATCACACACGATAAATGCAGGTTAGTGAAACAAACAACTTAGGACATTGGAAGAATCTGCTGCCATCAGGATAAAAGTTGCATTGAACTCAACTTGTAAATGCAATACTCTCCCATCACAAAATGACAGCAGGTAGGTTACATTGTTACTATTACACTGCAGAATCCATTATAATGAGAACTAGTCCTTAAGATATCACTTTAAGCTAAGGAATATCACAATAACAATGGTTTACCTGAATGGAACAGTTTGAATTTGAGAATGAAAAGTATTGTTCATTTATCCTTTTGGGATTCTGAGTGTCGTATACGACACACAATTTTTCTTTCAAAGAATGAGAAGCAGCTCTTGATTTTTGCCTGCTAAACAATTATATTAGTTATTCCTTTGGTCAATAGAGTTTAGTGAAGCTTATTAGACCACATGCATCCCACTGTGATAGAGACAAAGGAAAACATAAGTGATTGTCTGAGCACATGATTTTGGAAGTGATCACAAGTATGACTGATTCATGTAAGTATTCATTTTTTTCTATTTCTATTGATTATAATTTTACAATTTAAACATGTTTTTGTTCAGGAGACTTCTATGTTAATAACAGTATTTCATGAAATGAGCCTACTTTTGAATGTGTCGTATATGACACGTTGGGTCTTTGTGTTACAATAATTATCAATACATAACTTGTCAATATGAAAATAATTCATAGACTGTAATTTACTTTTATAGTTATTTTGTCATTTGGTCAGCAATATGTATCCTATTATTTATTTTCATTTTTTATTAAGTTAATTTATTTATAAAAATAATTATTTAATTTCTGTGATTTGTTTTTGTACAGTTATTTCTCTGGTCTGCAGGATTTTGTTTGTTAAGAATTTTTAAATTATTAGTATTAGTATCATAAGTCATATATTTATAATAAATGTCAATGATTTAGTTTTAATTTTTCAGTGTAAACAGACAAAATAAGGAAGGAACATGATAGGACACTTAATAATGATAGAAATTTGTGTGGACTGGAAGACTAGTCCAGTGATGGAGACAGTGGCAAAACATTTATTCTTCAACCAAACTGTCCTGAAGAATGTAAGTCATTAGATGACGAAAATGATGCTTCAGCTATGTAAATAGAGCGAAATCTCCCTCTATTTACATACAGTAGAACCCCTCTAATCCGTCACCTTTGGGACTGGAGGTATGGTCGGAACGCAAAAAAGGTCGGATTATCAGAAAAAAGTAAAATAAACAATCTTCCTTTTGTCCAGTCTTTGTAACACTGCTAATTTTTTATTTAATGAAAGAGTAACGTATTTACGTTTCACTCCTGACATGTTGAAAATAAACACAAAACTGTACACGTACACACAATGTAAAACATATACTGTAACGAACACAGAAGAACGCCATGGACGGTGAGTCACTGACGAGTCGGGACAAGTTTCTCGACTCAGACCACGGTCAGATTAACCGGAGTGACGGACTAGAGGGGTTCTACTGTAGCATATTTCTTGACATCAGTGCAGTAAAACTTCTCCATGGCACCATACAAATAGATTTAAACCCTTGCTACCAGCTCCTGCATTTCAAGAAGAATTATGAAAGGGCAGTGAGTGTGAGTCTGAAGAATATTTCTTGAATTATATTCCTGAGAATCTCTGATGTCATTGATTCATGCATGAATCAAATATCACTGATTTGCCTCGGAAAATTTTCAACTTTACTGCTGATGAAATGAAAACAATTTTTGGATAGCCTACAGAAGAGATAGCAAAGGAAGAAGAAAAAAACACTGCCATTTTGACACTTTTACTTTGAATGAATTTCAAATATTGCAATTACAGATTGTTGTTCTTTTTATTTTCTGTACTATGATGATGACAAAGAAATGGAGTATTTTTTATGATTTTCTAACTTTACATTCCAGCGAAATACAATGCAAAAGTAGAGCAAAACATATGCCAGAAATCATTGCTGCCGAATGCAATGATATAAAAGTGTGAGCTATAGTGTACTGTATCAAATGCAAAATCCATCTGTGCCTTGTGGCAAATAAAAATTGCTTTAAAGTATGTCATACGTAAATATAGAATGTAAAATATTGTACAGGTAGAGAGAGATCCATTGTGTCATATATGACACATACCAGTTTTTAATAACCGAAAAGAAAAAAATGATAATTTTGGGTGTCACTTGTTAGTAGTAATGTCAATAACAACAAAATTTCAATGAAAAAAAGTTTTTTAATAGTGGATCTCAAGAGGTTATAGGTCAAAAGGTCAACCACCTTCTAACTGGACTTACTTAGTTTATATCACAAACCAAAAAAGAACCTTCTGGTGTGAAGCAGAGCTCAGAAGGTGCCTGAGAACATTTGTTTACATTTTAAAAAACCAAACACCAGAGAAGGTTTTTTTGAGGTTTGTGATACATTTATAGCTCAAAAGTGCTGCTGTCTCTCCATTTGTACAATGAAAGAAGGAATGAATGATAGTGATGCATCATACAACAGGTTTATGATCTCACTTATGGAAACATATAGGGAAAATCTGAACTAAGATTTTAGTTTTATGTAGAAGAAAGCAGCTATCTTCCTCTTACTTAGCAACAGAGAGAACTCATAAGCATCAACATGCACACTAAGGACAGGAGACATCCAAAAATGCAATGCTTGATGATGGATTAGATCAATCATCAAGCACATGCAGAACCATAAACAACAAAGCAGTAGTCAAGCTTTGAGTGGAAAAAAAGAAAAGTATGATACAATGACACACTTCTCACTGGGATCAATTACAAAAACTGTGCATGGTATGTAGCATTGATTTTAAATTTGTTGCACTACATCTTGACCTACAAGGAGGTTACAAAAACACTTGCTCCATGAGACAGCCACAATATTGCAAACTCTTACATCAAGCGGGATTGGCCAAAATGTGATACATTCCTTCCACCTGGTGTCTGCCCACCTTTAGTCAAACGTTATTTAATGAGAACAATTGTAAAGGCTTAAGACCAGACTGGAAGCACTTTCTTGTGCATGTGAGAAAAATTTCTCAAAATGAATGAGTTTGAGGCCAAATAAGGAATTTTCATAAAACCTCCAAATTAAAAAATAAACAACTCAAGTGACAGAATTTGAATCGACAGCAACCGTTTAAGCCAGTTTTCTTTGAAATACAAGTTCTGCGTAGTTGTGTGGGAGATCATTCACAATGCAACCCATCTTCAAGAACCTGAGTTATTGCACATTCCTAAAGCTACAATTCCTCCATTCATACTGGGATTACTTTCCAGATAACTCAACAACAAGATTTCCATCAGGATCTCAGTGTAATGGAAAAACATTAGTGAACATCCTAAGGCCAATGGTATGCTACAGACTTGTACATGTTTTGGGAAATAATTCACAATACAAGAGAAAGTAAACAGAAACAGGTAAAGGTATATTTACTGCATTTGTTTCCCGTTAGATTCAAAAATGTCTCCAAGATAAGTGTGTAAAGATATGTTTTATAACTCTTTTATACTGTATGCACATCAACAAGATGTATCTCAAAAATGTGACGCAATGAAATGTTACATCTAGAGTACAGATCAAAAGCTGAAATTTGTTCAAGTATATTTTTTATCATCTAGTTAATGTAAAATTAACTGAATGAGAAACATATACAAATTCCAAAATGCTAATAATAAAATTGATAATTTAACATTTTCAAAGCAATATAATTGCTAAAATCATCTAGTCTCACCTTGATAAATAATGAAAGAACAGATTCAATAAATTCAAAATTTCTCTTAGATTTTAAACTTTCATTTATGGCCTTCATGAAATTTAATAGGAGATCTATAGAACCACCGCCAAGAGGTGCTAACGATCTGATTTCCAGATCAATGGAGGACGTACTCATTTTCATCATCTCTTCTATGACTTTGAGATCTAAAACATTTTTCAAATCATCCATAATATGCAATATGAAAAGAAAAAATTCTAGCTAGATAATTTACTTACATTCTTCTTTCTTCACAGCAATTAATACCATTTCTCCAAACTTAGACAAGGATTGAAGTTTGGCAGTTCTAATTTTTGAATCTTGTTCTTTCTAAAAATAGAATTATGTATAAAATTATGACTACTGTGGTAAATGTATGTGCTTTATAGTATAAATTACATACATTTTCTTCTGACGTCTTCTCTTCTACTACAAACTTTGGTTCTAAACCCGAAACAACTGGCAAGAAGAAAGGTGCATTCTTGGGTGCACTTGGAGGTTCTTTTGGTTTATTTCTTTGCTATAAAAATAAAAATATTGCATTATTGTGTGTGAGATCCCGGACTACAATTTTGTAAAAACTGTTTTAAATTTTAGAGAAAAAATTTTTGGAAAAGTGATGAGGAAGTGGCAAGATTTTGTCAATGATAACATTTTCCAGGAAGAGGAGTCATTGAAAGGGGATATAATTCACCAGGGAAGTAAAAAGAAAATTTGGGATTGGATAACAAAGTTTTCATTCGATATTGTTCTTTTTTGGAAGCATCTCAATGCAGGAAACAGTCAAAAATATATGAAAGGACCAGAAATGTCATCCAATTAAAAGGTTGCATAATCAGTGTAGTTTGGCCACTTTGATGGAGACTAACCATTTTTACTTCAGATGTCTAGTTTGGCAATGCTAATCCCAGTCCAGCTCACCCGATGTCAGTTTCGTCAGTCCTAGCCAATCACCAAACCTATCTCCATGTTGTTTTTCCTTGTCAGTTCAAATCCCAATTGCTGCTGTCTTCATTCCCATCCTTGTGTACCGTTAAATGATCACTATAATTGAAGATACAAACTTTGCATCCTAAAGGCTTCAAATTGCCAATCATCAAGGTATTTATCAGGCTGCAAACTCTCTCTCGCACAGTTAGGAGGAATAGTTCATAATATAGTATTGGGTTAAAAAAAGGCCCATTGTTAAAATTATTTTGTTTATAAAATAATGAAAATATTTATTTTTAACATCATATGGCTTTATCTTGTTATATGTGATTCTATAGTTTTATATAATCCAGTCAAATAAACCCAGTTATTTATATTTGCAATTTTGTTGTTGAGTGCATTACTTCTTGGGGCAAGGGATATAAGAGGGAAATAAGAAAGATGGGGAGTCTGAAGTCCCCATATGGAAAATTGCAACCTAGAGAATCTCTTGATCATCATCCTGTGTGGTTTATTATCACATGAGAACTCCTACTTCCGATCACATGCATTAATATAAAAATATATAGCCTTCTGCATTAATTTAAATAGCATAATCATAATCCTCATTGATAAATCACTTGAGCAAGTTTTTGACCAATTAAACTATCAAAATTCACTTTTTAAATAGTCTAATATCAAATAAACTTTCAATATTTTTAATTGCATACCTTAATATAATTGAGATTTAATAAATTACACCAGCGAGAACGAGGCAAAAGTGACAGTGTCACTAGATGCTCGGCTATCTGTTCTGGTGACACATATTCTTCGACATTCATGTCAATTTCTTCATCACTGGATTCTTCTAATTCTTCATCGTTGTTAGTTCTTGCTAAAAAATTTTTAAAAATAGTTTTTAATTTAAATTAAAACTAGCTTCTGTAAATAATTTATGGACTCACGTGTATCTTCGAGTGAAATCGTGGGAAGCTTTAAGAGCAAAGGCTCATAATCATTGGCAAGCGGTTGTAAAATCACCGGAGAATACAATGTGTAGTTGGCCCAAAGATAAATTCCTAAATCGTCGATGTGGACGGTGGCCAAATATTCGCCGGTGGGTGACATTGCAAGACTCGTACAGGGAGACGAAACACAAAAGCAATCTAATAAGCTATGAAAATATGATAAAATATTATTCTTAAAATTTTAATAAGTTCATATTTATAATGTAATTTATACAATTATTATTCACAATGTTATTACTGTTGACAGATAAATAGAACAGTACTAGGATAATGTGTATAGTTATATTCCATTTATTGTCATAAGAAGTAGCCAATGCAGTGTTTTGCAAAATACAGATAGGTGCATAGACAGAGAATTGAGTTAGTTTAACTCAAAACAGAAAATATAGAGCAGAAAAAGACAATATTTGTGCTAATAAATGATTGTTATGTTGTGATTATTTCAGGATCTTGTGCATTTGTATATTTATTAATTATTTTAAGCTTAAGATGACTTTAGAAATTTATCATCTTTAAGGAAACTAAATTATAAGAATGTTTTAAAGCATCTAAAGACTGACAAAATTTCAGTTGCTTAATTAATAAGTTTTGAGGTAGAAAAAAATAAAACACATCCTTCTCAATTTCAGTGTTTCATTTATGTCTCAGACTGATTGATTAGATTAACCAAACTGCTTTTATTAAAGACACACACAAAACACCCAATTTTAATATTCTTTGGATATCCTGTATCATAAAACAACAAAGAGTTGCAAATTATAAAAGAATGCTTCTCTGAAAGGAAACCTAAATGGATCCAAGAAAATTTTGATACATCTGTGTGCAATTGTTTGAAAATATTTGAAATAGCAACTTTATCTAGAGAGTTTAACTTAATGTCGACTCCATAAGCTAAGATATCCAAGTATTACCAGTTTATGCAAGTATTTACTGATCATTTTGAAAATAAGCATCATCTACAGCTATATACTTCTATTAATATCCATATAATCTGTCAAAATGGTACAGGAAGCCATTTTCTATGATGTCTTAAAAAACTTATCAGTATAGTTTCCATTGGTTGTTCCAATTTTCTTGCTCTCTGGATTTAGCTCCCATAGACTTTTGTCTGTTTCCAAAAACAAAACAGAATATGAAGGGACAAGGATTCTGATACTGCAGTTTCCACTCTGTTGCATAACAGAAGTCATTAAAGATGTCGAAACAATCATAAAAGCCATTTTTTGTGACAAGTGGTATCTATGCTTGCAGAAGTTATGCAATTGCAGAAAGAGCTTACTTTGAAAGTAGTAAATTGTAAAAATTTGCTGTATAATCTGTTTTTATTTGTATACACAAATAAAAACAGATTCACCACCTATAATCTGTTTTTATACACAAATAAAAACAGATTATAGGTGGTGAATTTTTAAGATACAAAAAATCATCAAATAGCAACATTAAATGATACAAAATTGTGCAAAAATAAAGCTTTTTATGAAGATTTTATTAAGTATTCTGCATATATCAATGAAAACACTTTAATATGAAATATATATTTCATAAAATAAATAAATTTGGTTACCTTCCTGATGAGAGATCCCAAGTCCTAATTGTTGCATCCATTGAAGAAACAATAAGCCAGAACGAATCAGGAGAAAATGTCTAAACAAAGATTATTTGTAATTACATTTAATCAAAATTAAATACTATTCAGTAAAGAAAAGTAATTTTAGAAACAATGAAATAAATGACACACTTGGTAAACAAGAAAATATTGCAGAAAAACATATATTCTGCAATTATATTATTTATCATGATAACAATGTAACTATTTAGTTGAACTCCATATCGGCTCATTAAAATCATATAGTTATAGCTTCATACATTATGAGCACACCCAATTTACCACAAGATCACATCCAGAGTAAATAGAATTTATAATAGGTAATAGAGTTAATGCAACATTTTCTATTCTAAGAGTTAGAACTACCTCCAAATAAATCCATACAGCAATAGATTAGAATTGGTTGGTTATAAGAGATATACACTAAAATTTAATAAGAAAAATATATAAATTGTGTGCATCTAATGTATTTATTTGCATAAGTGTAAAATAATAATCATAAAAACAATTAGATAATTATACTAACAGTTTAAAGTTAATAGATGCCCAGGTTAGTATATGTTATCAAGTCCTCATGCACCTCAAAATACTTACAAAAATAACTTGGATCCTTAACAATATAATTACAATTTTGTTTAATACTAAATTATCATAACCATTTGTATTTTATGACAAAATTAATTCCTAAGATACCTAAATCCACTAACAAACAATTTACTAACTAAACAAACATTTTTTGACCATTTTTAATTTTAAAATAGCTTTAAAAAATTAATACAAAAATATTTTAATGTTAAATATTAACCAAATTGTATCTTCAATCCTTGTGCCTGCGATATATAATATATTTCAAATTATGTTTACTTACCATAATATTTACTTCACAATATGTTTAGCAACAATTATAACTTCGTGTAGCTATTTATACTGTGTAAATAATATATCATCTGTAAAAAATCCTGAAAATGATGTCATCCACACATCAGCAAGAAAATAGTACAATATTACATTTTATACACACACAAAAGGAACATACTATTATAATCCAAAAATCCAAATGTTTGTAACAAAAATGCTTGTATTTTTGTAGACACCTGTATATCCACCACATTGTAACAAATACGGCCGAAGAGGGACAGACAACCTGTCCGAAATGCCTACCTTTGTCATCATTAACCCTATGTCTACCGACCTCTGTGCAATTATGCCGACTACATCAATAGTGTGTGGTAAGTCCTCCATAAACCCAAAAATTAGTGCTCATAGTCATATATAAATGATTCAATTTTGAATTGTAATATATTTAAAGTGTTTTCTGTTCTAAGAATCTGAAGATGAAGTTGAAATGAGATTAAAACCATTAGTTCAGTAATTAAATTGGCTTTCTTACTGGATTTAGGTGTCTTTGGAATTAATTTTAAGCAGTACATCCAGTTTTTGCAGTAATTATTAATTATAATCATATTAATGCAATTTATTCACTGATATTGCACTTGAAAATATTAAAATGTTAATCATGAAAGTCCTCTGTTGAAATGTTCTCATTGGCCACAACATACTAAAATTTATTTCTCTGTTCAAATAGCATTCCATAGAAAGTATCTTCCCCTTAAAAACCATGCTTCAGTTGATGTTCAAATACCTCCAATTCTCACTCTTATTGAACCTCACTCCAGATCTGACCCTGCTGTCTTGAAGTTATGAATTGTCCCTGTTGGAGTGACATTGATACTTCAGAGGTCAATTTGAATTCTTTCTTTCAAAATCTGGAGAATTCATTAAGACTACTGCTTTACTGTAGAATATTTCTTTCATTCTTATGTGAACTTTAGTTCTACCAGTATATTATACAATTTTGACAAATGCACAGCTTTTAATTGCTTGCTATCAAGTAAAACACTTTCTCCACTTTTTCTATTTCTAAATTAATTATTAATATTAAAATAATAAATAACAATGTTACCATGTCAGTAATCCGATTTCTGTGTCCGGAAAATGTTCTGACTACATTCCTTCTTACGACATCTATTATTAAAATAACAAAAGTGTCCAAAGCGACAGCCAACATTCCACTAAACATTGAAATAAAACTTCTATTAGATTATTATTTCAAATAAATTTCAATGCTAGTTTATTTTAAAAATACCTTTCTCTGTGTAATAACATTTGAGATACTTGATCTTGCACGTCTAAGGTAGCGAGTTGTGTACGATCTTTGAATTTCCAAAATTTTAATTTGCAGTCGCTTCCTCCAGTTACTGTCAGTTGATTGAGGCCATCTGTGACAACTCCTCTTATTTGTCCTTCATGTGCTAAAAAGTTTAACTAATTTACTTATTATAAAATTATAATAATAAAATCTTCATTGATTTTTTGTATGCTATAAAAAATCCTATAATTAATTTCATGATTTTAATTCACAATTTAGAAATATCTAAAAGATGAGATTTTGTCCATAATGCATTTGAATCTGCAAGTCTTACAAGCCAGACAGACAGATTAACAATATTCTGACCTATCTTTAACTCAAGAAATGCAATTGTAACAAAAATGTATATGGGTTGCTTTGTCTTGGCAATTGTAAATGTTCCTAAACCCATCACTGCATTTGATAAGTCACACGTTTCACTCTGGTAAGTCTGTATCAAGAGTAAAAGCCATATTCAACAGAACACAAACAATAATGCATAGATCAACATGCAGTTTCAAAAAGATTGACACAAAAACAAATGTTTCAATTAATGTTGAAATCTCAAATTTTTATAGCTGTAAGTAACTTAAACTATCCTAGAAAAAGAAACATCAATGTAGAGTGGAACCTAAACCAGCAACAACTATTTACCGTGTAGATGCACTGCAAATTATCTTCTATATATGGTTTTATCTCTTCAATTACTACGTCTTGGACAAAGATCCAGGTTGGGTAATTGACAATGCACCTGCACAGTAAAAGTAAATTACATATTTTAACTCCTGCTCCAAATCAATCTATTCTTCCAAAATAGTCTAAACTACATGTATGGTGATGCCACACACTTTGAATTTAATACATTCCAGGAGGCTGTTTCAACCCCGAATCAGTTTTCCCAATTAGAAATAATAGAAAATGAATTTAGGTGTGAATTTGTTTAATAGAAAATGAATTAATCCATTTCCAGATCTAAACAATACCCATTTTGATAAACTTAAAACAGCAAACACATAACTTAAGGTAAAAATAACAATTAAATGCCCTAAATAATAAATAAAATACAGAAATACTATATAATATAAAGTTTAAATAGAATTCACTGGTTTCACACAGTCACCATCAGATCCGTCACACGTACTGCAATATATTCCTTTTTCACTGCAATTGTCAATACTACAACCTTCCTCTTACACACTTCTCCAAAGCCACAGGTAAAAAGTAAAGGCAGATGTTAAAAATAAGCAAAAGCTTTCTGTTCAACATTGTGAGAGCCTTTTCAACAAACTTTTCAAAAAAGAGAAAAAATCAAAAGGGATATGATTATACTTTTTCCCCACAACTCGATTCCTTGTCCAGAGATGATACATCTTTTGGATGTGTCACCAGGAACATAATGGAAAAATTGCCATTGATATAGACTAATTTTATAAAAAAAGGACAAGAGTTGCAAGGGGGAGAGCCCCCAAAATAAAAAAACAGGATCAATGATGACAGGAGTTCGTCGACCATCTCGATTTGGTTGGGGTTCAGGTTTGCTAGCTTGTCGGTCACCAGTCCCAACCTCCTTGGACATTTCTCCCGCTATTTGACTATTTTGGATATTGGTTGATTTACTTTTTAAGACATCCATGTATCTGGAAAGCCACCCCTCATCCAGGGACATCTCATCAACATCTACCAAATCTTCGGAACTTCACCAACACCACCCATCCACACCCTTGAAATCATCAGGAAAGGATTCACTTCTAAGTTTACTAAGATATTTATTAACTTCATATTTGATTGTAAATTCCTCTTTCAATTAAAACTTCTTCCAAAACTTCAGACTATGAGACTATAATTAAAATATTTTTAATTATATTTAACGCCTCATAGTCTGAAGTTTTGGAAGAAGTTTTAATTGAGATGACTGTTGGCGTGACATCCAACCCCAGTACTTAATACTCCTAAATTCCTCTTTCAGTTAGGGATCCAACACAATTTAATTGAGAATGATACAGATGCTGTTTTACTATATTGCTATACTGTTAGTTCTAATATATACATATGTCTAAATTAGTCTATAGAATAAAACAGATAATTGTTTAAAAATGCTGTAGTTGAGTGCACTTCTTTCTTCAAATACATTGTCTCTTAGACTGTCTCTATCCTGAATCCGATCACCTACAAAAGCGACCGCTCATGCGTGACACGAAATGTAATCGCCATTGCGATTTCTGTGTTCTCTAAAACACAGTGGTGTCGGTCTCGATGTCATGCCAATCGTGACGTCACAACCCAATATCAACTTTACTTAACATAGATCTATGATTTAATTATTACAGTTGTAAGATTGCATTTTTTGTTTAGAAGCTTAAACTTTTTACTTTCACATTTGTTTGAATAAAATAGAGTCAATATGGTTTTTATATCAATACATTTTAAGCATATTATGATTTATGGGTTTCGGAAAGAATATAATACTGTATAAACAGTTTTAAAAATTCAAACATGTCAAATATGGTTTGAAAGTTCCATTCAGTGAATTTTGAACTAAAAGGATATAAAAAATTTGAGGTTCCCAGAAGCTGTTGCTAAATGTTGAAGTAGAATGGCTGATGCCATTCTGCTTCAACATTTGATCCCATTGATGTTTTGAACTCTAGTTTACTAATTCAGTAGGAAATGTCTTAAAATTCTTTACGAAGAATACACTAAAAAACAAAAAAGCCAAAAAGTTAAAATTTTGTCCAAAGAAAGCAAAAATTTGAACTGTGATCTGACATTAATTAAAAATTATTAAAGGTACAACATGGCAACATAACTTACTACCTATAGTCCAAATTGACTAAATAATTACATAAATATTACCTAAGTTCTAGTTCAATAAATTTTATAATTCAAACAATTATTTACAAATTTAGTAGTTAATGAAAAGATCAGTTCACAAGTTCTCAAACCTACAAGTTTATTTGTCATGTTGTTTTGGCATCTTTGGTTAAAAAGTTAAAATGATATGTTATAAAGGTTCTCGAGTATATATTATCATTTCCAGTAACTCAGTAAGAAGTTGTTTAAGTTAAAATGATAATAGAAACAATAAAAACCAGATTTGACTCAGTGTTCAACTTGACTGTGTTGAAAATTGCAAGTCAAGTTGTGTGAATTGACAATTTTTTACCCATCAAATGCAAGTATGAGCTCATTGCTACATAATCCCAATTTATGTTTCTTTCTCTGGGTACTCCCCTTCACTGCGACAATGACAATGACACTATGCTTACAGAATTGAAGTTAAAGCAAGGTCATGTGCAAAATGAAGATAACCAACATATTTGGTTAGGAAATTCTGGATTACCTAACCTAAATCTGTTGGGTAGTCCAGACATGACAGCAACCACACCTGTCACCATGTGATTATCAAGAAGAAAGCTGATGAAGACAAGAGATTCATCCAGAATTCTGAAGTTGGAGAACATCATGAAGTAGATCTGACACCAGCATCGTTGCCAAAACAATGGTTAAAGTGTCAGTACGTAGAAGGGGAGTAGCTAAACAAAAACATAAATTGGAAATATGTAACACATTCAGTTCCATTGTCATTGGCAAAATTCTGGACAGAAATTGAACCATCCTTGTGATTTCAGTAATTGTGAAAAAAATTTTACATCTAACAAGGAGAGCCTACGGCTTTGGGGTAACGGATTTTGACAATCTTTGGTGTAGAAGTAGTACACCATGTGAGTGTACTACCTGTAAAATACTAAAGTGCAATACTCAAATATAATCGAGAAAATCGAACTTAAAGTTTTGTTAGCACTTTATATATAAATTATACGTATTTCTATTCGAGCGTCCTGTGGCAGAGTGGTAACGAGTCTGATTCATAAGCTTGAGTTCTCGGGTTCGATTCTCGCGTATAATTTTTTTTTTAATTCATAAATACTTATAATGTATTTATTTATTTACTCATTCATTTATTTCTTATTATTTATTTATTTTAATTTAATTTCTACTATTCCAAGTCTAATATTTTTATACTTTTGTTGACAATAACGGCGCATTCTTGACACCTATGTGTCAACTTTCCCATCTAATTGTTATCACTAACGGTGACCGATCTAATTCTCACTAGGAGCGTTTTTTCTATCGGAGTTCTTTTTCACTCACTCTTTAACAGTTCGTTTCTAAATTTCGACACGAATAGACGTATTTGTGTAGTAAAACTTATTTTGAAAAATTATTTTATAATCGAAAAATGTCGTCAAGAGAAGCAAGTTCTTCACGTTGTGACGAAAAAACTGTTGATGATACCTTTTAAAAAAGCAGCATTTATTTGTTGTTCTTGGTGTAGACAGAATTTTTGTTTTGAATGTTTTTATCATAAGTATCATTCACGATCATGTACATCTGACAATGATATGTAATTATATAATATTGCTTCAATAAATTATATTCGTTTTTCTTGGTTATATTTGAGTTTTGCACTTTACAAGTTAGTATTTTACATCACTGTATAAAGAGTTATCATCAACAGTTTTTTCGTCACAACGTGAAGAACTTGCTTCTCTTGACGACATTTTTTGATTATAAAATAATTTTTCAAAATAAGTTTTACTACACAAATACGTCTATTCGTGTCGAAATTTAGAAACGAACTGTTAAAGAGTGAGTGAAAAAGAACTCCGATAGAAAAAACGCTCCTAGTGAGAATTAGATCGGTCACCGTTAGTGATAACAATTAGATGGGAAAGTTGACACATAGGTGTCAAGAATGCGCCGTTATTGTCAACAAAAGTATAAAAATATTAGACTTGGAATAGTAGAAATTAAATTAAAATAAATAAATAATAAGAAATGAATGAGTAAATAAATAAATACATTATAAGTATTTATAAATTAAAAAAAAAATTATACGCGAGAATCGAACCCGAGAACTCAAGCTTATGAATCGGACTCGTTACCACTCTGCCACAGGACGCTCAAATAAAAGTACGTATAATTTATATATAAAGTGCTAAAAAACTTTAAGTTCGATTTTCTTGATTATATTTGAGTATTGCACTTTAGTATTTTACACGGAGTACAATCACATGGTGTACTACCTCTAAACCAAAGATCATCAAAATCCGTTACCCCAAAGCAGTAGGCTCTCCTTGTAAGTAATGGGAAAGTAAACAAATCTTACCTGTATATTCTCCGTAAGAGCCTCTATATATACCGGACTGAATATTAAACTTGTCGACGTGTCCAGTATTGTATCCAATAATTACGAAGTTTCCACAAATGCTGATAGTCAAACACTATTTAAACAATAAACAATAATTTACAATAAGAATGGATTCAGAACAGGAAGATCATGTATAGACAATATTTTCTGTATAAAACAGATTATGGAAAAAAAGATTAGCAACAAGACAGGAAACTCATTTGTTGTTTATCATATGCTTTCGTTAAGTCTATAATGTCACAACAACAAAATTATGGGAGTCATTAAAAGAGATAAATATTAACACACTCATTAAAGCAGTTAAAGAATTATATAGATAATCCATAATGAAAATAAAAAATGGAAAAAAAAATATCAGAAGGATTTATGGTATCAAAAAGACTAAGACAGAGATGTATCTCACCAATTTTATTTAAAATCTAGGAGTATTGAAAATATGGAAAAGGAAATGTTGTAATATGGGAATAGATATTAATGGTATACCAATGTTTACATTGCAATTTGCAATGATCAGGTGATAATGGCAGAGAATAAGATGATCTAGAATACATGATAAGAAAAATAAGAGGAATATTTTGAAGGAGGTTTATACATAAACATGAGTAAAACAAAATATTTGTGTGTAGGAGTGACTAAAACAGACATGGAACTGGAAGAAGGAGAAAAGATTGAGGGATGTGAACATTACAATTATCTTGGAATACAAATTCATCAAGAAGGAAGAGATACATTAGAAATTAATACAAGATTAGCACATGGTAAGAGAGCAATTAAAAGATTAAATGGAATATGAAGGAGTGAAGAAATAACTAGATCAAGAAAAAAATATATATAATGTTATTGTTAAAAGCATTCTGTTATACAGGGCGGAGGAATGGAAAATGACTGGGAAAGAGAAGAGAAAAGTAACAAAGGTTAAAATGGATGCATTGAGAAGATCGTACAGAATCTCAAAAAGAGAAAGAATAACTAATGAAAGAATCAAAGATCTAATGGGATTGAAGGAAATGGTTTTGGAAGAAATAGAGGAAACAACTTATTTGGTTTGGACATGTGAAAAGAATGAGTGATGAGAGACTCCCAAAAATGTCAATGGAATACAATCCACAAAAAAGGAAAAAGGGAGGAAGACCCAGACAAACTTGGTATGATGGAGTAAAGTTAGCATATAGTGAAAAAGGAATTAAAGAGGAATGGTATATGGATAGAGAGAGATGGAGAGGGTCCCAGGAGATCGGAAGGCAATGTCAGATGCCATAAACTGAATATAGATAGATAGATAGATAATGCTACAATTAAGTCTGTAGATGTTGAAAAGACAAATATAAGCAACACATTAATCTAATGTATGAGAAATATAGTATTAATCAGAAGAAGAGTAGAGAGAATATTGATTCCTTCTAAAACACTAAGTATGATTTATACTCTTTTATATACCAAGTTACCAAACGATCACCTAAATATTGGGCTNTATGGTCGTCTTCAGAATATATCTGCCTGGAAGGTCGGATGCGTGACCATTATATACTCATTCGGTGTGGGAATTTGGTCTCGTGACTGCCTGTTGGCAGTGGTGACACCTGCAAATGTGTCATCACTGGACAAAGAAAGTTAAAGTTGACTCATAGGTCTCCTATTTTTTTCGTTTGGTTTTAGATTCTCCTTGTGGACATTGTTAAATGTCAACTTCCTCATGCCTTAACAATTGATTATTTAACATATCAAACTTTTGCTGGTTGAGGTGAGGGAGAAAGGACTTGTTGCGTCAAATCCCCTTCTCCAATATGAGTTTCTAAGTCAATTGTATACTGTTAAAACGAACACATGCTTGTTTGTTTTCTAATTTCTGTGAGAACAAATAAGTTTCTAAATAATGCATTTTTTGCTGAAATTTACAAGAAAACAGCCCTCGGATTCTCACAAACATAATCTTTCTTCAAATCATTCAAACCATACTGAATGAATTTAGCATCTCTAAAATAGTACCATGATCTTTATTTTCTTGATGGTAATGTGCAAAATTGAGATGAGCATTAGAATTGGGCAGTAGCATATTATAGCTTTGAGGGGCCCCTCAAAGCTATAATATGCTAATAATAAAAAGCTATATAATATGTGAGTTGTGGCAGTTCTCCACACTTTCCCCATGATCTTTTACAATTGTTGTTGACATAAACAATTCACTTTTCACTTCAGAAATGAGTCACTTTCCTCATGTTTTTTGAGAGAATTGCAAATGGAAATTGCTAAGGTAAATTAAAATTAGGGGATGCCATATACAGTATTGACTTCAAACATGCTCCTTCGGGAAAATTTTTGGGGAAATCCCCAGTATCCTCATTCATATTTTAACACATTCTCTTCAGTGTGTCAGTGCACCCTGCATCTGTGCCACATTGGCAATCTAAAGTCCAAACATATGCCCCAAACTTAACTATAGTAAGAATATTAAAATTTATGAGTATATGAAAGAATATGTAGTTTTACCTGGGGCCACTGTCGGTGAGCACGTTAAGAACTGCTGGTCTAGATCATATTCAATATAACAATACACTTAACAGGACAATCTTTTTAAAATAAAAACAACATTATAGTAAATTAGGATTAAATTCCAATAACCTACAATAAAGGAACAGCATCCCAATTCATCCTCTACATAAATTATGATTAGATTGATACCTAGATCTAAGTAATGGGAGGACAAAAGTTATCTGGCATAAAGTTATCTGGATGTCTGTGTCCCCTAACACACAGACATCCAGATAACTTTATTTTATGCTACTGCCATTAACATTAATGCATTTTTAAAACAATACCAACAGAATCTAGTATTGTTTTTTTGAAATTATTTAACATATGCCCCAATTTTTATCAATAAATTTAAATCAAACAAAATAACTGATAATACAGTATTTTAGCTTACCAAAGGTACAACATTTCTCTGTCCCTTAAATCTGTCGTGCAATAGTTTATGTTTTCCCATACAGCATCTGTCGTAGTTCCACGTAGTGACGACGTTCAGATTTCGATGACATGCTGCTATACTGTCCCAGTCTTTCTCTCGTGCACTTTCTATTTATTAAAGTTTCGTACATTAAAAGTTATTTAAAACATTATATACACCATATTAAAAAATTTAAGCAATATACTATTAATCATTTTATTATAAAACTATTATTAATATAATGAACTTCATATACCGATATCTATACACAAATTCATTCTTTACAGCTAAGTTCATATCAATTAATTATACATTAAATGAACTTTAACTGTGTTTACATTAAAAAAATCTCAATTATTTTAAACTATGAATAACAATAAATACAATGTGTTAATTAAGAAAAAATATCAAATAACATTAGAAACTTAGCTTTTATTTGTATAAAAATTTGGTGGAAATATATTCTGATAAACATTAGAAAACAGTATCCTTTTAATTCCAAAAATAATCATATCTACAGGAAATACATAGGAGATTAAACATTATTTTTCTATATTGTTGCATCATTGTTGCACAAACTTCTTTATATGCCCAGAAAAAAGTTTTTTTTTTTATTTGAAAAAGATTTACAGATGCAGAACTTCCTTTATCTCAAGATCTGTGGCAAATCATGCCCTTAAAGCATGTTTGATTAGTTGAAATAGATAGAGCATCTTTTGTAGATTTTTGGACTGTTATCTCAAATACAATTCTTGAAAGATTTGATCAACAAACCTAGCAGTACAAGTATGACTCAACATTTTCTTTAAATTACAGCCTTTAGTTTGTTACAAAGCATGCCGTTCTAACAAGCAGTGTTTATTGAGTCCATTTTCTAGAGAACAAGTAAAGGAAATGAAGTGTTTGCAGTTTGCTTTTCAACAAGAAATCTTTTGCTCTTTTTTATAAAGGCATAAAGAAGCTGTACAACAACAGATCATATGCCATTAAAAGCAAGGGAGAATGTTGAAGAATGATGATCTTGTTAAGATCTTTTGTTATATAATAAACTTTAATTGCACACTACACAAAATTTATAAAGGTAATCCTTTGGGGACTAGATGGTGGGACGACTCCATATGGTCGTCTTCAGAATATATCTGCCTGGAAGGTCGGATGCGTGACCATTATATACTCATTCGGTGTGGGAATTTGGTCTCGTGACTGCCTGTTGGCAGTGGTGACACCTGCAAATGTGTCATCACTGGACAAAGAAAGTTAAAGTTGACTCATAGGTCTCCTATTTTTTTCGTTTGGTTTTAGATTCTCCTTGTGGACATTGTTAAATGTCAACTTCCTCATGCCTTAACAATTGATTATTTAACATATCAAACTTTTGCTGGTTGAGGTGAGGGAGAAAGGACTTGTTGCGTCAAATCCCCTTCTCCAATATGAGTTTCTAAGTCAATTGTATACTGTTAAAACGAACACATGCTTGTTTGTTTTCTAATTTCTGTGAGAACAAATAAGTTTCTAAATAATGCATTTTTTGCTGAAATTTACAAGAAAACAGCCCTCGGATTCTCACAAACATAATCTTTCTTCAAATCATTCAAACCATACTGAATGAATTTAGCATCTCTAAAATAGTACCATGATCTTTATTTTCTTGATGGTAATGTGCAAAATTGAGATGAGCATTAGAATTGGGCAGTAGCATATTATAGCTTTGAGGGGCCCCTCAAAGCTATAATATGCTAATAATAAAAAGCTATATAATATGTGAGTTGTGGCAGTTCTCCACACTTTCCCCATGATCTTTTACAATTGTTGTTGACATAAACAATTCACTTTTCACTTCAGAAATGAGTCACTTTCCTCATGTTTTTTGAGAGAATTGCAAATGGAAATGCGAGTGATGCAATTGGCTTCACTAAGTTCATGTGGAACCCAAATATCCAGCTTTCTGATATATCCAATTGATGCAGATGATTTTCCATGCTCAATTTCAATATTTGAAGACTATCTGCAATCTCCCACATATGGCATGGATTACTGTTGACTAATTCTTTTATTTGATTGCTGTCAGTCTCAACTGGCTGACCCAATCTTGGTGCATCTTAAATGCAAAAATCTCCAAAATGGAATCTTGCAAATCCCTTCTGGCACACACATTCTTTCACACCATCCTGACCATACATCTCACATACGTTTTTGCAGGTTTGCACTGCACTTTTACCTTTTTTAAAGTAAAAAACCATAATATGTCATAATTGTTCACTCATCTTTCAAATTTTGAAAAAAACACAAAACGAAACTTACCGTCAAACTTTATTTTTGACAAGTGTTGGTGAAAAGTTGTTTGTCAAACAAATGCATGTTTTCAAGGCTAATAAATGTTTTTCAGATCATCTATGTATCAACAAAAATTGCACTAACTTATTGGCCAACCCAATATAAGAAGTGGGCAATGCCATAATGTTGTAAATGCCAAAAAAAAAAAAAAACAATTTTTTCAGGATTTATAAACACAGTAGAGCATCGATTATCCAACTCAATTGGGGACTCAGTTTGGTCAGATAACTGAAAAATTGGATAACCAAAAAGAAGGAAAAAAATACATTATTAGTATAGTATATTAGGATATTAGTATATCCCATGTAATTAGTTTATTAGTATATTGCTATTAACCAACTTCGTGTTGAATTTTCATCGATGTTTAGCCTAACAATTTTTTTTAAAAATAATAATTGTTGCTATTGTATCGTTAAAAATTATTTTAAAATTATTTTATTGCTCACGAAACAAACAACCACTCATAAATAGAAAATTAAGTCTCGTTTAAATATTGGCCTCCCTTCAATGGTCGAGCCTTGATACCAGCTAAAACACACAAATATTTAACAAAAATAGTATTAAAGTAGCCAAGATATAGCCATATATTGTAATGCCACATCACTAGCGGACATTTGAAATTTGCCAACTAGAACAATCAGTTAACCGATGTGACGGTTAATCGGGGGTCGGATAATCGATGCTCTACTGCACTTATAATTAATGAATTCCTACAAGTTTTGGAAGAATTCATTTCAATTTTACAATAAAATGGTAAAAAAACTCATTAGGTTACAAATTCTCTAAAATAACAAAATGATGTAAACATAAGCCACAAAGTTTTAAGTGCCAAAAGCCACATGGCTTGCACTCTGGAGCTTAAAATTAAAATGTTATGGCTTGCACATAAATTCGACTTCAAAATACAGCTCCTTACAGCACTACTATTGCTACAATATTTTTTTGAAATAGAAAACATTGCATTTAGTATTCATTTCTTCAATAAAACATATTTAGAGAAAAATAACATTTATGTTATGGCATTGCACTTCATATATTCTCTTATAACTCATTACATTTTACATAATGACATCACATATCTTGCACAGAATTGCCAATTGCATGTCTGCGCAAAACATTAAATATATGATAAAACTTATATAATGCTACAATTTGCAAATAATTATAAAAAATTATATTTGATGTAAATTAATTGTTAATTTGTTGCTTTAATACCAAATTATGGAGAAATTACAATTTTATAAAGTGTTTGTTTCTCATTTTATAATGACTACAACTAAACAAAATTGCTTACTTCAACATATTAAAATTTCTAATATCGTATTTAATATTATACAATATGTAAAGGATAATATCATACCGGAAGCAAAATTCATTATTGGAGGTAACTTTGCAACGTCGTATTTAACTCCTTTTCTTTTTGCGGCTCTCCTGTTGTGCGATGCCTGCCCGAGACTTCTGTTCAGACTATCTTTTACGGTCGAAAAACGACGCACGGAACTATCTAGACCTGTAGAATAAAAATTTTTATTTTACTTATCAAGTATTATTTTAAATATTTGATATATTAGAAATTAATTCATTCTTGCAGTATTTTTCATCATGAAGACTCTTAAAAGCATAATGACAAACACACTGCTGTCCCTTCTATCTTCACAATTATCTCACTAATTCCACCTACACTATGATTATAAAACAAAGTTTGATGAAAGCCTAATGGATATACAGTATATTTTTGGTAATTTGCTGTTTGATAGCAAATGCATCTGGCAGTCCGATACTAGTCGACTCGAGTATTACCCAGCAAGTTGCAAAGCCGTAGACAAGCTTCCTGTCAGTTCAAACTCTAGCTTCTTTTAAATTTGAACAAACTCAGGCTCAATATTAAAGACTGTTAGACTTGACATCTTACGGCCGATTGCAGAGACAGAGTTTACATTAAACGACGTTTACATTGGCTCTTACTTACTTCGCTATTACTCCCCTGTTTTAGGAGTCGTTCGGCCAATCGGATTATTTCTTCGTGACGTCAGAAATGGTCGTCAGCTATATTCCGAAAGCTTAAGGCCGTCAAAATCATTGTTCGGCAATTAATGACAATCCTTTTCTATTTCGTTATTTAATTTCGTTGCCAATACGATTTAAAATATGAACAAATCCATATTTAGAAAATTTATACCGAATTCGAAATTCGTCTTCGGAATAGATTTTTAAGGAATTATTTCGACATCTTATTACTGTCGAAATGAATAATTTTAAATATTTTATTATTAATATTACATTTTTATATCTATAAACAGATTTCTGTAATTATTAAAATTGTCTCGTTTGTTTAACAGTACAACGACCCCGAAATGCATTAACGTTTTATAACCGACACGATACTCAAATTGTAAATAAATGCATCTGATTTAATTGTAGTTTTAAGTCTTCACCCATTTGAATATCGAAATTGGAACATTTAAAACAAATTTAAAGTATTTCATTTTGTTGTTTTTGTTCCGAGCAGTTAATTAATTAATGAGTAATTTTGTCGATTCGTACCGTTTACAACATTTATCAAAGAAACGATGTCTGTTTTTATCTAAACTTTTCCACAAACAAAGCTACCACTCGAATTGAAAAGCCCTCTAAACCTGCTGTCGAGTGAGTCTAGAAAATAGGTCAAATAACTTGTTTCTAATCGCTGTCTACAAGACAGCGATTAGAAACAAGTTATTTGACCTATTTTCTAGACTCACTCGACCATTTCTGACGTCACGAAGAAATAATCCGATTGGCCGAACGACTCCTAAAACAGGGGAGTAATAGCGAAGTAAGTAAGAGCCAATGTAAACGTCGTTTAATGTAAACTCTGTCTCTGCAATCGGCCGTTAGAGTACAGAAAAAAAGCACAGTATCTAACACAATACTGTAAAAATATAAAAATCAGCCCCAAAAATGCTGAAAATTCCACTAAATTTCATGGGAATCTACTAACTTGGCAACATTGGTTACAGATAAAAGCAACATGCTCAGATGACAAAACAGAAAACAATTGAAAATTTTAAAGGATTAGAGATTAATATGAGAACTCTGAAATGCAGCAGCATACAATTGCTCTCCTTTCATATTTTTTTTGCTGCACTATACATGCTTTTGATTAATATAATCAGTGGTGATATTCAGCGGGTTCGCACAGGTTCAGCCGAACCCGTTGTTAACATTTTCAAAGTTTTCCGAACCCGTTGTTAAACACACGTAACATTTCTCAGTGATTTTGTTTCTTTTAAAAAATATATTAAAATATACGTATTATACTCTGTAACACTACTAAACTAGAGCCTTATACCCTGTTCGCCTAGTGCAACCTCCATCGACCGTTTCAATCTCGACTAAAACGAGGTTCAATCGCGATCGACTCGAGAGAGTTCTCGAAACTAGATCCAGTCATAAGAGAGATCCCACAATCCCACGCGCGCGAGAAAATACAAGATGGCTGCGGAGCACGTGTCGGGCTATCAACAGCGAAATAAGAAAGATATTGTATTTCGAGAGACGATGACATCTGTCTATTATTATAATAATACCTAACGATAAAATAAATGATTTAGAAAAGTTTTTCTTGTTTAACTGCTTTCCCTATGACTTTTTCTGATTAAAAAAAAGCCAATTTTTATGTTTATAAAATATTTTGAATGAAAAATATTAAAATATGTACAAAATAAACCATTTTGAACACTCTTTTTTATTATTTATAAAAAAAAATATACTTTTGGCATAAACAATGTTAAATTTTAACTGACTTAATTTTGCGAACGCATCTTTTTTATTTATATGGGTATCTGAAGATCAGTTTTTGCGCTAATGTTGCTAATGCACCATTTGAGCGAAAAAAAATCGTTAAGGAAAAATTTTCTGTTAGCGAACCCTTTGTTAAATATTTCGAATATCACCACTGAATATAATGTACTAATATTAGGCAAATAAAAGAATGTTTGCTTTCTGAATGATTATTTCCAAAAATCTGGCACTCTCCTTAATCCAAAGTATATATATATATATATATATATGCAATTGTGCAAAGTTCATCCCAACACCCCAGAAAAATTATCATTTTTTGGAAGATGGTTTTGATGATATCAGATAAGGAAAACAGTTAAGCACATAAGACAAAAATTTTATAAAAGACAAATTTGTACATCTAGTGGTGTCCTCTAATACTAAAAATGTTTCGAGAGAAAAACATATTCTACTATATTCATAACTAGCTGTTACCCGCAACTTCGCCTGTGCGGATTTTGCAAGCAAACCCCATTTATATTCAGAATTTCAACAACCATAATAATTGTTATATAACACCTACTGCTGAGAAGTTTTTGGCAAATACAGAGATTTACCAAAAAATTAAACGGAAATAATCCAATTATTTGGTAAATCTCTGTATTTATCATATAAATCTTTATATTATCGGAAATAATCCAATTATTTGGTAAATCTCTGTATTTGCCTGATGACGATGACTATAAGTTCGTCGAAAGTGCTTAAAAAAAAAAAAAGTACATGTAACACCGATCTCAGTGTTTCTCCATTTTATTTTATCAATCAGCTTTACATTTTGAGAGCTTCTTTAATAAGTCCTTCCATCTATTTTCCACAAAATAATTAACAAGTGCTTTAATTAGAATTTTGTCTACCTCAAAATACAGGAATATATATAAACAATACAAAAGCAGTAATGTTTATATCAAATTATATGTACTGTACAGTACCACTCTTTTGTCAGAACAGAATCAAGTCTAAACAAATTAAAAGAAATACATATTTTTAATTTGGAAAATCCTAATCTGCAAATCTTGCTTTACAGTCTTTTTTGTGTAGTAAATTCCTCTGGATTTCAGTCAATATAAATAATGACCACACATTAATTTCACATTTATATTCCTAATTATTATTGATAAATTCCTAATGTAATTGTTTTTTCATTCAACCACACTCACAGATTAATGAGATTAAACATATATGGATAAATGGAAATTTCCAAGCTTACCCAAACACAATCAGATTCTCCAAAATGGCAGACCAGTGCCTTTAGTTCATGCAAAAGTTCGTCCTGTTTTTAGCACCAGCTGGCTTTGCATCGCAACACTGAAGTGTTATTTCCTTCGCATGTGTAAAATTTTGACGTTGTTTGACAAAAGGGATCTCAGCTAGTATTTGAGAATAAAGTTGTGTTACTTAGTTGTGTTTTTAAAATTTTGTTAAGCATTACAAATGGCAGAAAATAAGGAGCATTTTCGACATATTATATGTTTTTTATTTCCAAAAAGGCAAGAATGCTTCGCATACACAAAAATATATGTTCTGTGTATGATGAGGGAGCCATTGATTATTCCACATATCGTAAGTGGTTCAGAAAGTTTTGTGAAAATCAATTTTAACCTTAGCGATGCACCAGATTCTGGATGACCAGCCAAGGTTAATGACAACGAAATATTGGCACTAATTGAAAGTGATCGACACAAAACGACTCGAGAGATTGGAGAAATTCTTGGAATCAATCAGTCAACAGTGCCAAAGTGATTATATCAACTTGGAATGGTTAGCAAGGCCGACGTATGGGTGCCGCATGAGTTAACAGAAAAAAATTTGATAGACCAAATTTCTGCTTGCGATTCTCTATTGAAGCGCAATGAAATCAACCCATTTTTAAAGTGAGTCATTACAGGTGATGAAAAATGGATTGTGTATAATAATGTTAAGCATAAAAGATCATGGTGTAAGCACGGAGATGCGCCTTCAACCAGTGCAAAAGCCAGTTTACATCCAAAGAAGGTTATGCTATGCATTTGGTGGGACTGGAAGGGAATCATTTATTATGAGCTATTACCTGAAAATCAGACCATTAATTCAGAAAAATACTGTTCACAACTAAGTGAATTAAAGTGAGCAATTGACCAGAAGCGACCTGAATTAGCCAACAGAAAGGGCATTGTGTTCCATCAAGACAATGCTAGACCACACGTGTCTTTGGCCACCCGACAAAAACTTTTACAATTTGATTGGGATGTTTTGGTCCGTCCACCATACTCTCCTGACCTTGCATCCTCTGACTACCATTTATTTATATCACTTCAAAACAGCTTAGATGGTAAAAACTTTACTTCCTTGGAAGACTTGAAAAATCACCCGGATCAGTTTTTTAGCCAGAAATCTCAGAAATTCTATGAGCACGGGATTATGCAGCTACCGGAGAGATGGAGAAAGGTCATTGAACAGAATGGCAAATACTATATTGATTAAATGTAAGTTTTAGTAAATAAAATTTTTCTTTGATTCTTTTAAAGAAAATGGGAAGAACTTTTGCATCAACCCAAGTTTTAATATTTCTTTGGCCACACAATATACATTTATCTTAAAACATTCCCTAAATCAATTTCCTCAAATAAACTTACCGTTATACATTTATTAATTTCTCAAATACATCATTCTTGTAACTTAATATTACCTGAACTGAGTATATTTTCACCATTAGATCCGTGGAAAGTAATCTTGGTTAGAGGAGCGGCGTGGCCCATACGTCCTTTCAAGAAACGGCCGCTGCCATCAGGCATGTCGAATATCCATAACTATTCAAAAATTAAAATACTTTAAGCTTAAAACTTAAATAATAATTAAATTCTATATTTTTATAAAATGTTTTTATAGTTTCTTTTTAGAATTTTTACAAGATCCTGACACTAAGAATAGTTTTAACAAAATTTTACATTGATTTATGCAAAAAAAAAAGTATAAAAGTTGACTCCACTAGTGTTTGAATAAAAAGATGAAAAATTTCACTACATTGTGTCTGTGTATTAGTATAAAAAGAAATTAGATAGTCACCATTAGTTATACTTTAGTTGCACCATTATATGTAAGAACTGAAGAGGGGCATATGACATGAAATGCATTTCCTTTATATAAAAAATAGAAAATAAAATCCACTTTTTCATCAAGAGAAGCGTCGCTGTGTGATAAGTTTGCAATAGATATTTAATGTTTCAGTTTACTTACACAGTAAACTGAAACATTAAATACAGCCTTGATAGTTCCAAGGTGACCAAAAATAAGGCAACCTTGCACTATCAAAAACTCAAAGTACACAGTGTATATTTATACAATAAAAAATGGTAATAAGTAAAGGCCTTACTTATTACTGTTTATTTTACCATATGCTTATTTTGTTGGTTCACCAGACAAATTTGTGGTTTGTCTGGTGAACCAGACAAATGAGTAATGAAACATGGGACACCCAATGGGCTCATGAGTAATGAAATATGGGACACCCAAATAGATGATAACAATTCATTGAAGTGCAGTGAAACAACAGAGCAAGATTTCTCGATAGCGACTCAAACTGACAAATCACCAACTCACATTTTGCAAAGTAATGATTACCGATTTGAACAAAACTTTGCATGTTATAGAATAATAAAATGGCATGTTGTGACAAAAGCCAAATTTTTAAATTTGATCTAAAATTGAATATCAGGGATCAAAGGTCATACCCAAGTTAAATCAACAGGAACATTTTTCATTGTAAAATTGTAAACAAATTAGCTTATGTTATCTATAATTTGAGAGACAATAAAGACTTGCCAATTTTTTTAATACCAATCTTCTTTTTCCATTTTTCTCAAAAAAACTGACTATATACACCTTAACCTATGTAAGTTAATATATTATAACTTGTATAAAAAACCTTGCAACGTATACTATGTTAGCATGTTATACCCATGTGAAACGTTCACTACATAAGTTAATAAAGTTTAAAACAAAGGTAAGAATTCACTGCTTATGCACAGCAACAAGTCACTTTAATTCAGTACCCCCTAATGATCTAACACGAGCTTGTTATCAGCCAGCGCACTTCAGGCAGGGACAAAGTTCTCCTCGTATATTAAAATATTGCTTTAGTAATAACACTGACCATAATAATAATAGTAATATATCACACTTAAAATACACGATGTACTTCATAACATGTTACAAATGGCAACTGTATCTGGAAGTATCTGGCACCACATCACACCACATCACTTCACAATGTAATAAATTGAAAGTCAACATTAGACTTTTCAGTAAGCTTACAATTTTAGCATATGGTATCTCATCACACAGTTGGTTTGAATACCCAAATATATAATTTTTACATGTTCTGATTGATTATGTGTACTCTGGTTTAAGAGTGGTAGTGCCTCAAACTATATGGAACTGTAAAGTATCAAGACAGTTGTAATTTTGTCATAATGAAATTTCAAAACAAAAAAATTTAATTACAATTCTTAAATAAACCAATAATGCTTTTTGTTTAAATTAAAATTTATTCCAAAAACTCTCATGTGTTCAACTTCTAAAGTGAAATAATGAAAACTATAAATACAAAATTACAGTAGAGCATCGATTATCTGACCCCGATTAACCGACCGTCCTAGTCGGCAAATTCAAATGTCCGCTAGTGATGTGGCGCTACAATATTTGGCTATGTCTTGGCTACTTTAATATTATTTTTACNTATATTCTAGGCTTGCATATTAATATTATATTTTCATATTAATTTATAAAACTAAAATATACAAGGCATATTAATTTATAGAATCATATTGTAGACTTATACAGGAACATATTAATTTATAGGACTATATTCTATATTCTCCATTGGTTGTCTTTCAATGTTACGTATAAGCCAACTTTTTAAATATTCTGCAAATTATACAATTATTTTCAATTAATTTTTTATTTACTCACGTTTTAATAATAAATTAAGCTTGTTTTGATATAATTAAATTTATTTAAACAAGTTTCTAATACTAAAATCCCATTAAATTTGTTGTATTGAATAAATAGTGACGGCAAACAAATCTTTAATTTTAAAGAATAAAAAGTATAAAATTTACCCGTTTTATTCTATATTTATCAATTAAGATTTTAATTAAATTTATATTTGGCTTAAAAGCAAAATAGTTTTATACAAAAGCTTTGATTACATATCACCATTTTGCTATAGCCTATTACATAAGCAAGTTATGTAATCAGAAAAGCTTAATTGACATATAAATTTAGTTTTATAATAATTACCTCACAATTCAATAATTAAATAAATATAAACGTTCTAAAATAGTCTATGGTTTGAGTATTGATGTTTATGACATGATATTTATGTTTCTTCATGTTCCCAGTTTCAGCTGCGGACGACATAAAATTTATAGAACTTGAAACAATTAATTACTTAGATATATGTGCCGACCAGAATTTTCGATTTCCATTTTTTTCCCTCCTTTTGTGGGTCTCCGAAGAGAAATTATCGGTCACGACAGACAACGAGAGTTCTTGAAAAACAGCCACCACCAAATTGTTTCTCGTTATCGGTTCCTAAAAACACTAATGATTTGTAAATAAAGGTTGCGCTACAACACATAAATCCACTTTTCACTTTTTTCCTTTGTCTTTATCGACATCACAATTTATAAAAAGTAATATTTTCTTATTGCATTCGAATTCTTCTCGACACATTTCGTTTTTTGTCCCACTCAAGCAGTTCTTGATGCCACGGAATCAATTAATACGAAAACGATGTTTATTTATATTTATCATATATTTTTTCATTTATTTTATTGTACTTTTTATAGTTTGCTTTGATTAATAATTGATTAATTCACCAAACAAACTCATTTTTAAATACATTTGCGTTGTTTTAAAGCAGAGATTCCTATCCTTTTATGCTTCTCTCTCCCAAAAACTACATTTAATTCTCAACTCCTTTCTACACTGGATACGCAATAAATTATAAATAGAATGAAATAAATCACGTAGGAATTAATAATTTAAATTTATATAAATTTATTATTATATATTATTAATTTTTCCGTCGATCCACAAAGACTCTTAGTAATGTATTGACCCCTTTGGAAGGTTTCTAGCACATACTTTAAATACACTCACACTATTTTCAGAATATTTTAAAGCGTCATAAAGTTTCGGATTATTCAGCATTTCTTTGAATATAACGTAAAATATAACGTAAAATTCCATATTATAAGAAAATCATTTAATATTATAGTATTTATTTCTTTCATTGATAGTTGGGTAAAGATAAAAAGATTTTTTTTATTAAATTCTAAAACTTCAATAAGAAATTTTTGATGTCGAAAATTGTGATTTACTGTATTCATAATTATATTATTTGCATTTATGATGATTGTCTATTTTGAAGAGTGCATTCAGCAACATGTGCAAATGTTTATCTGTCAAACAATTGTATTCAACTGTCGTCTACACGTTGCCAAGAGTATATATACAATGAATAATGATGACAACTGAACGAGTTTGACGGGTTAAAAGGTCAAACTCTACAAGTTTCCTAGTGAAAGAAATTCAATGCCTGTTTTTCTAGGTTTATTTTTATGTATTTTTCACACATTTCTTTGAAATTTTTAATATTTAAGTAAAAAAATAAATAAATAAAGATTTTTAAAATATATTTAATTTGTTTTATTTTTCTATAATTTAATTTACTCAATTAATTTATGCAGTTCATAATGATATAGACATATATGCTAATTAGTTTTAAAATTATTTGCATATTATTGGTTTACTTTCGTGTCATTTCTCCATAAATGAGCTATTTATAAAGAAATAGCGTGAGAATAAAAATTATTTCTGTTTAAAAATGAAACTGTAATTTGTAAATTCTTAAATTTTTATTAAAAATTATTTTTTGGACGAAAATTATCTTTAATTTTGATATAAAGTACTAAATAATTTCTAAGTTTTGTAGAAAAGAAAATATTATAAAGCATATGTTAAACAAATTAGAAAAATATTTTTTTGACTGCGAGTTTATATTACATATGTAAGATTTAAGAAATTAATTAATTATAATACTTTTTTCCTTTCGCTAAAGTTTAAATTTTTCCTATTTGATCCTACAATGTTAACATGAAAAAATAATATGACGGATGCAATAAGCTTTTTCTTTCCTTCTTCATGTTTCCTTTTTTCATATCTGCTATTTATTTATACGAGAAAGTTCTGCATTTATTAATTCTTTATTAATTCACAAAAAGGTTTAAATAATTTCGGGCAATATTCATACGGAGAGCATAAATATTCTCCTATATTGAATGCAAAATTATCTATACGTTTTGGATAGGTTATCAATTATATAATATTAAATTTTAACCTTATATATAGAAAAAAGACTTTTACTTATCTAAAAGTTCATCTTTTACGCCACAAGAATATAAATTTTTATTTATATTTCTAAATATTACTATGTATATGTATAGAAAGAGTGTGTCGCTGCACGTGATAGGAATATTAATAAGCAAAGTTAAAGAATAAATATATATTTCGGATCAAAATAGTGGGGAAACATTAAGAGGAATGTAAAGTAACAAAAAATATTTATTTTTTACTTATTAATTTTTAAAGGAAGAACAATACACAGTGTTGAATATATAGCTATAATCTATAAGAAAGTGGTAGAAATCCTAAAGGATTAATTGTTTAATTTTATTTTCATATATCAGCAAATAAAGTAAAAATACAGTAATGTGTGTAGAAAAGAAAAATTTAAGAGTAAACATCAAATAAAAATGATTCTCATTGATATCTTATAGGTATTCTTGTGTGTTTCCTCCTCATTTATCC